GGTAGGAAGAGTGTACCGGGCGGCTCATTAGGGAAAAAATGAGTAAAATAGTATAATAGTAAATTGAGAATGAAATTTAAGACACTTCTAATTGAGAATGGTTGACCGAGAGATCATGTGTTCAAATTTTGGCAACCCCATTTGTTAAGCACGTGATATTCGGATTTGCGAAAAATATAAGCACGAATAAGTTGGTTTTCTTTAGCGGAGAAGTGGTAGTAAATACTTAATAGTATAAGTCCATTATTAAATCTTTCACAACAACTCGAGTTATTGACACGAAACGTTTTTTAGTACGACGAGGGAGCTGTGGGTGGGGCGCAGGGTAGCTGGTGGAGAACGGCGGCGCCGACGCCGTCGGATGGTGATCGATCGGATTTGGATTGGGATTAGGGTTTTGGAAGGTGGGGAACTGGTAGTAGGAAGCGTAATTGCCCTGGTGCATCGCTGATTCTTCGAATAGCAGAGATCGGAAGATAGGAAATTGGAGATTTCTATGTGGCTTCCTGTTATTAGCTTTCTCTCTGCAACTCCTTCTAGCTTCCACGAGATGATGGAGGAAAGAGGGAACGGACAATGGAGGATTAGTGGTGTTTGGGAAGAATCGATTGCGTGCGGGTGAGAAAACGGTGACGTTTGAGGATCCTGCTCACCGATGCGCCGCTTAACTTAACTTCTTTTCCTTTTTTCTTGGTGTTGTGTTCCAGTGTAGACCGCCCGCCGGCGAAGGGGAAGAGCTCTTGAGGAAGGAGAAGGGTTTTCGGGTCTGCAAATGGAAATGATCAGTTTTGTTTTTTTTTTTTTTTTTTTTTTTTGTAAATTGGGTTAGGGTTTATTTCTAGGTCGGGTTGGGTTAATGGTTTTGGTAGGGTTTATTATGTGGCGGGTCGGGTTTGATCATTTCCAACCCAAAATAATGTTGATTAGGCGCTCACGTTAGCCACGTCAGCACATAATGGACTCTATTACCGGAGTTGGACGGCAACTAACGGCGAGTGACTAAATGTGTCCAAGTTTTTGTAAATACAAATTATATCATAAATTATTTAAAACGCTAACAAAACTATTTTATCGTATGTATTTTTTTCCATCCTTGACAAAATTCTGACTACGCTTCTGCCTAGCTGTCATAGTGACTTAGGTTCAAATAAAAATAATTTCAAGAAAGCACTCTAAAACTAAATTACTAAAGGTCATTCTAAAATTACTAACGGTCAATATGTAAGTTACATATTTACCCTTAATTAAATTTCAAATTGGGAGCAAACCAAACAACTCTCAATTCTCACTCTCCTCCCTCCATCGTTTCTCAATCGCCAACGATTCCCGGTGAGACAACGTCGTCAGTTCCTATGGAAGGGCACCACCCACTTCTGTCCTCAGACTTTGCTGCAATCCCAACTGGATTTGCTCCAGAATTAGTTATTGCAATGGGTCGGGTCGGGTCGGGTCGGGCGGATAGTGCATATCCGTTACCCTACCCAATGTAGTTTGGGTTTTATCCATACCCGTACCCATACGAGAAACGGGTAGAAAATCAAAACCATGCCCATACCCGTTTGGGTTTCGGGTATCCACGGTTATCCATGGCTAATAATTTTTCCTTGTAATTCCAACCAATATGTTAACATTCAAACGTATACTCACATTACGTAAGAGGAAAAGTACGACAATAATTCACTAGAATGACGAAAATTAATTAAAACAACATAATTTCATGAAAATATTATATTTATATGCTAAATATAAAATATTCTAGAGAAACATAATGATTATTTGTAGACAAAATACATATGCATGTGTATAATCGGGCGGGTTCGGGTTGGATAGTGAGAAAATCATGCCCCCCCCATTACCCGCAATATTCGGGTTCAGGTTTTACCCGTACCAACGAAAAATGCTTTGGGTTCGGGTTTTACCCTACCCGATTAGGTCGGATTCGGGTGGATATCCACGGTTACGGATATTTTTGCCATCCCTACTTCCAAACATATTTTTAAGAGTCGATGCTTCCGTCCCTCCTCCCTCCATTGTGTCCACTCCATCATGCCGACTCGATTTCCCACGGCACCGGTCAGTGGCGGATCCATAAATTCTATATCAGGATGTCCTCTCTAAAAAATTTGTAACTTGGACAAAAAGAAACGAAGTGACTTAGCCAAATCTTTTTTGTTGATGTGAAAATATCTTATTAGTAAAAGTTATATTAAAACTTTAGACGTATTTCGTAAAATGATAAAATACATTCGGTGTCTATACTGCTCAACAAATATCTCTCGACATATCCTACTAGACAAGAGTATCCCGTAATTGGGTTTAATCGTTAGGTTTTGAAAATAATTTGGGATAAGAATAACATTTTACTATTATATTTGGATCTAAAACACATTAACACATGAGTTGTAGTATAATTTAAAATATGTTTACTAGTAGTGACAGTGTCCCTAGTTTAAATCACATAGACTACTACTTAAATATTATTTGTACCAATAAGCAAACTACTACGTGAGGTTGGATAATCATTTTCCCAAATTTTAAGGGTGTCCCACTACCCCTTAACATTTTTTTCTCATATGTAAACTACTATCGGAGGTTGAATAATCTTGTTTCCAAATTTTAGTGATGTCACGTTACACAACTAAACATCGCCACTACCACCAGTGCCACTATTCAACAGGGTCGTACCATGATATTCGCAGGCCCTGTTCGACAATTTAAAATGTGGCCCCACAAATTTGTCTCGCAAATTTATTAAAAATAAAATTTATTAAATAATAATAAAAATTACATAAGTTCAGAAAATAATTATAAAAGTAATAATATTATCTATTGTTGTTCAAAAAGTAAAACTCCTCAAGTAATATTTGAAATAAATTCATCTATTAGCCTTTTCATCTTCTCTATTTCTTTTGAAAAATGAAATCAATCTATCTATTTCTAAAATAGTATCATCAATAAGCATATCTTTGGATTGTAAATTATTACTAGCTGAATTTGTCGAGTGCAATATATCATACCTAATAACTAATGTAACAATAAACTCAAAATCACCAAATTCTTTTTGTGCCCCAGATTTAGCTTCACTTCTAATTTTCAAATCGCCATCAAGATCGGATCTAGTATCCAGGCTGCTCAATTCTATTTTCTTTTACAAATTTTGGGTTGACATAATTAAAAATGATAACCAAAGATTAATGATTTCAAATTTCCAATCAATATTAAGTTCCCTGCTAAAGGAATAGAAAAAAGGTTAGAACTTAAAACAAATTGGTTAGTAGCCTCTATAGTAGGGATGAGCATTGATTAGGAGTTCATTAGAATTGGGTGTGGATAATTAATATTTACACTTTGGATGGTTTTGGAAAGTTGAGAAATTTTGGGGAAAGAGAAGAAGAGAGGCTTTGAATCCACTAACTGTTACTTTATATTCAAAAAACAAGTCATAGCTTAGTGGTTGAGTCTTATTTTAATGAAAAAGAGGTTGACGATTCGATCCCTTTCTCTGCCGTTGCCCTCCTTGTAACATGTCATTTTTGTGCGGGCTTGCCAGGCCAAAGGGTGCAGCTCCGACCCCACTACTAATGGAGTATGAGGCCCAATTTGGCTCCGGCTCTGCTTACGGTCTTTTGGATTAAGAGGCCCCCAAAAATTGAGGCCCTATGTTGTGGGTCTGACCAGCACAGGGCCTGGTCCGGGCCTGCCATTCAATAGCTAGCTCGCTAGCAAACTGAGATATATTGTAATTTGTTGAGTTAAATACTCAATTGATGAGTTATTACACATATGTGATTTAATACTTTAACTTCATCACAATCAATAGTCGGTCAATTTGAGCCGTCGGGAGAAGACTATATGAGAAAAAGGTTGTTATGTGGATTTCTAGATAATAATCCACGCACACGAACTTTGGATAAGTTTCTCGAACGCTCTCGAGTAGAGAACCTCCTTGATGGCGAGATCAACCCCAATATACTACAAACCTCCTTGATGAGTATATGAGATGTGAAATGGTATTCAATGCAGTCAAATGAAAAAAAATGGCAAGAAAGCTGGTTGTCTATTGTGAATTGTACGCGATGAGATAAAATGGCATGTGAGCCATACAAGTGAATGTAATATGAAATGGCCATTGCGGCATACAAATGATATATTGCGTTGTGACTAACTATAAGGATTGCATGGACACCTAAATCAAACTTAATGGTGCCCTGTCATTAACCCATTATAAGTGAAAAGAGGCTTCAAGCCTAAGAGATAAAAGTGTTATACGAGAAATCCTTTAAAGGAGCAACGAGTTCACGAGATATGGCACTTTGTGCCCACGAGTTTACGAGCCCATGGGTGGTGAATGACCGCCTGCTCCATCTCCGTCCATGGTCGCCTATCATCACTAAACAGATGTATGATGAGCTGGAGATTGCCCCTTTTCGTGTCCAGCTCTGGGACGTCAAGGAAGATTGTTGCACGATGAAATTTGCTACAAAAATGGCGACGTACACCCTTGGGCAGGTTCTTGAGTCAGGAGTCTTTTCCTTCCAAGATACGGGAAGGTATTTCTGAAGGTGAAAACCTTGATCGATCTATCCAAGCCATTGAGATCTAAACTTATGGCCTCAAGTGACGAGATAGGCTGCTTTTGGGTGCGTCCGAAGTATGAACACCTCCCATCCTTTTGCTTCCACTGTGGCAGGATTGGACACTTGCAAAGGTTTTGCTCCTTTGAACCACCTACGAGAAAGGAAAGATTTGGGCCGCATATGATGACCAAAAAGCTGGGACGAAGGGTTTTCGAGGCCCGGGAAAATTCCCACCCTTATCCAGGAATGTCGAAGACGGTTTGGGTCAATGAAAAAGTACAATCGGCCCAGCCAGTGGTGTCCCAGGCACGGGAACAGGGGATATGCGAGCCGTCGGGACCAGGGAACTTTCGAAACTTGCAGCATCGCGGCTCTCCTCGTCCGCAAAAGACAATGCGTAATCAGGACAAGTCTCGTAAAACTCCTAGGGGATTCCCTATGGCGAGATAGCCCAAGCTCACCATGGGACAATAAACATTGTCAGCCTATAGAAGGTCATGCACCTGTCAAGAAAATGATCGATCGACACTCTAGCCGCTCCGCTGATGCTGGAAATACAAGGTCAGTCCGGCCACCTCCCATTGAGAACCATGGCAAGATCCGTACCCCCCGAGCTGCAGCTACGCCCCAGGAGGCTCACAACTTGTCCACCTCCTCAGTGTATGAACAAACTCGGCGCCGTCGTTTAATTCTCGAGGCTGAGTCGGAGGAGGATGACCCGTTTCTACCCATGCATGACATGGCTCATACTAGCCCACTGGGGAAATCGGAGATGGCGGCTGGTAACTTTAGCCAACATGCGAACAAAGTTGAGCTCATACCACCACCTCAGAAGCCCGCTCGAGGAATACGCACATCGATCCAGACTGCTCCACGTGATGTGGGGGCTAGGAAGAAAGGCTGAGGAGACTTAGCAAAAAAAGGCTCGACTAGACTGCAGGCAGCAGCGAACAAGCCAACTGATCTTGCTGAAGGAAATTGGGTGGCAGTCCCAATCAAAGTAGCTTCGGATTTAATTCCCGAAACTGAGCTTCCTCCACCAAGCTATGAAAATAAGAAGGGTTCGCCTGACTCGAGCCCGGACGAGAATGCTCTCCTCTTTGAGCTGAAACGACGCAATCCAAGGGAGTCACGTCCTTCTCATCAAGCAAAACGTAGTCATGTTAAGCGCGTGGTACAAGCCTTTGGGGCAGGAGTGAATCTCGATAAATCAGTCGAGGATACCCATAATGATGCTGGGACGAACTCGGAAGCCTTTGGTAGTGAGCTGGAAAAATCTCTGGAAGTCAGGGGGACCTCAAGGAGCTTAATGAATATGGATCCAATTATGACAATCCAAGCATTAATACGAGGAAGCGACCCTTCCAGGAGACTGAAGGGGATTTCTGTGAACCAACAACCCCGAAAAAACTGTTTGTGGAAGACAAGGATGCTACTCTTACGGTGGAGGAGCCCAGTCTGAAGTGGTCCCACCTGAATAAATGAGGCTTCTTGCATGGAATGTAAGAGGAATTGGACCATCCCTTACATTCCAAACTACTGATGGTTTGATTCATTCAAATAAACCGGACCTTGTCTTCTTTTCGGAAACAAGAGCTCGCAGGAGATTAGTATCCCGTCGTATGCGGGGGTTAGGGTTTGAGTCTTTGCACACCTTTTTTGTTGATGTTGTTGATGCATCTGGCCATCTTATTGTTGCTTGGTCCCCCGAGGTTGATGTCTCGGTGTTTTTTCATTCCAATTTTTGTATTGGCGTCCAAATTAATGAAGTTGAGTTTTCGTACGTTGTGTTTTGTGTCTATATTAGTTGTATTCCCTCAATAAGAGCCACTCAATTGGCCCAGCTTAGAGGGATATGTGATACTATCCTCACTCCCTTTGTGGTCATTGGTGACTTTAACACCACCCTTCCTAAAAATGAGAAAGATAGCGGGAACCCTTGGAATGCTACTCAAGCTGTTAGTCTTCGTGACTTTATCCAGGATCTGGGCCTTCACGACCCAGGCTTCCAAGGAGACCAATTCACTTGCACTACCAAACGCATGTGGACTGCGTGCATTCATCAAAGGCTTGATAGGGCCCTCTGTTCCCAGTTATGGGTTGATTGCTTCCCCGATACTCTTGTCAAACACTTTACAGATCTTGGTTCTGACCATCGGGCCCTGCTTCTCTGAGACAATCCCTATGTTCGTAACAATCGACCTTTATTTAGGTTTGATGCTTGTTGGGCGGATAATCCGGAAGTCAGGGCTATGGTAAAGTATGTTTGGCAGGAAACCATTACTGGGACCCCGATGTACCATCTATAGGAGAAACTTAAGAAGCTGAGGCATCTGCTTTATGATTGGAGTAGGATAGGTACTACAAACTCGCTTTGGAATATTAAAACCATCCAAGTGGAAATTGAACACCTTAAAACCACTCACCCGGTTAATTGGGAGGAGGTGCGAGTCCTAGAAATGGAGCTTACTAGGCAATGGGATGAAGAGGATATTTACTGGCAGCAAAAATCCCATGTTCAGTGGCTGAAAAGGGGAGATAAGAATACTTCGTATTTCCCTACGGTCACCAGGACTCGTCGTAAACGAAACTTTGTCTCTGGTTTGCGTAATGATGAGGGGGATTGGGTCACGGATGAAAAAGGCAAAGCTAACATTGCCAGTCATTTCTATCAAAATCTGTTCACTTCGGAAAATCAAGTGTTGAATATGATTGATCGAGTAGAGAGCTTACCGATCTCTCGGAATGTAACACAGGAGATGAATGCAATGCTTACGGCGGAGGTACTCCCACAGGAGGTTCGGAGCATTGTGTTCTCCATGGGATCTAAATAGGCTCCAAGCTCGAACGGATTCATTAGGAAATTCTTTAAGGCCTTTTGGGATATTTTTGGTAGCTCGGTTATTGACGCAATCTGCTCGTTCTTTGAGACTGGTCGAATGCTTCGGAGATTCAACCATACATGGTTGACCCTAATACCCAAAGTGGATCATGTGGAGAGTATGAGACAACTTCGACCTATCAGCTTGTGTCAGTTTGTGTACAAAATCATCACCAAGATAATGGTTGAGCGATTTGCTGATATCTTACCTCGGATTGTCTCTGTAGGGCAGAATGCCTTCATTCGAGAGAAACAGATCATTAAGAAAATTCTCATTGGTCATGATTGAAGCACTATTTGAAACTCAAAACTCGTGGGAAGAAAGGGTACATGGCTCTAAAGGTTGACATGGAAAAGGTCTATGACAGAGTCGAATGGCCTTTTCTGCTAGCGATTTTGGAAAAAATGGGATTCAATTCAGTTTGGCGCGGATGGATACAAGAATGCCTCTGATCGGCTTCATTCTCAGTTCTCATGAATGGCTCTTCCTCCGGTTACTTCACGCCTTCCAGAGGGCTCCGACAACGGGACCCGTTGTCTCCTCTATTGTTTGTGCTCTGCACGGAGGGCTTTGCAACTATCCTTAGACAAGCAATAGAGATAGGAAGGCTACAAGGTGTGAAAGTAGCCCCTTGAGCTCCTCGTATTTACCATTTATTCTTTGCATATGACTCTTATCTATTCCTTAGGGGTTCTCTCTAGGAATGTGAGAACTTGATCGAAGTCTTAAATGAGTATGAGGAGCTGAGTGGCCAAAGAGTGAATTTGGAAAAATCGGCGGTTGTTTTAGCAAAAATATTGCCCATGAGGACAAGAGTTCTTAGCTTCGATCCTGGGGGTAGGAGCAGTATGGGTCCATGACAAATATCTGGGGCTACCGACCTTGATTGCTCGATCGAAAATGGACACCTTCCGCTACCTGGAGGAGAAATTGCTTGAAAAGCTGCAAGGGTGGAAGCAACGTACACTTTCGTGGGCTGCTAGGGAAACATTGATCAAGTCCATTGCCCTAGCATTGCCTTTGCATGTAATGTCTTGCTTCAAGCTACCCCTATCCCTCTATCGACTCTTGGATAAGCATGTAGCACGTTTCTAGGGGGGGTGAAAGGGATCAATCACAAATTCGGTGGATGTCTTGGCGGAATTTGTGTAGAAGTAAACATGATGGAGGGATGGGATTCCGCCGACTTGTACACTTTAACCAGGCTTAATTGGCTAAAATGGGGTGGCGTATCCTTAATGAACCTCAATATCTTTTGGCCCAAGTCTATAAAGGGAAATATTTTCATACTAGGACCTTTCTCCAAGCCACGGCACAGTCCCGAGCCTCCTAGGGATGGCAGAGTATCCTGTATGGGAGGCAGTTGCTTGAGAAGGGCCTCCATTGGCAGATCGGTAATGGTCAGTCGGCATCCCTCCTCTTCTCAAACTGGATCCCGAGGTTACAGCCTGACCGTCCTGTGTATAACCCCCAGGTGCTCCCTGATGGGGGTGATCCGCGAGTGGCAGAAGTTACCAAGCAGGGTGAGGGGCGATGGTGTGACATCAAGCTAGGACAATGGTTTGATCCCCCTACATGTCGGGCTATCAAGGCTATTCCTCTTCCACGCAATAATTTGGAGGATAGGTTAATTTGGCATGGCACGACTGATGGAGTGTTCTCGGTTAAGTCCGCCTATCATTTAGTTGTTGAGCTAGATAGGAAAAATGGATGCGGGAGGTCCATGTCAGTTGGATGGATAGGGCTAGTTGGATACGTTTATGGGAGGCTGATATCCCTCCCAAATTAAAGGTATTCCACTGGAAAATTTTTCATCGCATTATCCCTACTACGGAGGCCCTTATTGAAAGGAAAGTTTTGGTGCTCCCTCGATGCCCTGTATGTTGGGGGGGGGGGGGGGTCGGAAACAATGGAGCACTTGTTTCTTGACTGCCTAGTGGAGAGAGCATTATGGGATTATGCAGGGTTGGAGCATCTAGGGCAGGGGTTGCCTCGTCATACTTTCCCCCTTTTCCTTAGGAGGTTACTCTCTTTAGTCCACCAGCCTTCTGTTTTCCTGTTGGTGGTGGTTGCCCTCTTGCGGATTTGGAAGCCTAAAGCCGGGTTGTCTTTGAAGCCAAATAGTTTGGATTCCTAGCCTTGATGCGTCAAATTCACCAACAGTACTTGGACTGTGGTGGTTTGTCGGTTGATCATGTAACTCCGTATCCCTTTCCCAGCATGCAACCCATGAGTCCAGGCGCGGAATCAAGCTTTATATGTATTGGGATGGGGCTACACGAGCTGGATCACATTCGGCTGGAGGGATGGTTCTTCTGAGCCCTCATAGAGAGGTCATTCAGGCTCATGGGACGTAGTTTAGGGACATCGAGGATCCAATGGTCGTTGGATTAATTTCCCTCCGGGTGGCGCTCTATTGGTGTATACATCGTGGTCTTCAGAACGTCTGTTTTGAGGGGGATGCCAAGGTCATCATCGAGAAGATCAATCGGGCTGATACCAGAGATAATAGGTCTGGGGGTATTCTGGAGGACGTTGTGCAATGTTTTGCTTCTCACTCTGGGTTTAGTATACGATTTGTAGGTCAGAATAGTAATAGGGTAGCCCATGTGGTGGCTAGAAAGGCCCTTTTTTTTGTATCCGGCTACTTGCCGTTCTTTTGATTTCCGGACCTGGCTGTATTCCAGGGTGTAACTACCTTATATTTTGAATCAATATATGATTATCTTTTGTATAAAAAAAATTAGTATTGATTTACCATATTGAAACTACCGAATTGAGAATCCATGATATATTAAAACTGAAAAGAAAATATGCACACACTGGGTTTCGGGCGCTTGACTAGTTTAATTTGGTGTTTCAATAGTTCACATTGAACTATTTTATACTAAATATCAGTTGATACGAAATTTTCAAATAACGATATAGGTTACACGTAAGTTCTAAAATTCTCCACGAGGGGAGGGGGGGGGGGGGAGACTATGTGTAGCTCCGCCCCTGTATGAGGTTTATTTGTGATGATGTCCTATGACGAGTAATACAATGATTAATGATGAAGCAGTTTTATAAGTAGTGATGATTTGTTGATTTAATTATGATACTATCATGAGATGTTGAGGTGCATAATGTTATGTGTGTATAATACATCCCATGATGCGGTGTTGATAGAAGTGTAAAGGTATGATGAAAAGTTTCGTCTGGTATATGAGAATGAATACGAACTATATGCAACACCAGGTAGAGTAAAGTAAAGGTGAAACCCTAAAAGAATTATGTATGACATAAATATAAGAGCTTGAATAAATGACCCACAACGTATCTGTGACAAGATCGAATGGACAA